GCTGACTGTGGCAAGCATTTTGCATCACATGAGCTTTCATTTGAGAATATGAGCAGAGTTCTTTTGCAACTTGTGTTTTAGCAAGTTAAAATGTGTTTAGATTTATGAGAACGGAGGATTGTGTTTTGTGAATTGTGTCTTCATGTGAAATGTGTTTATGATATTGGAAAATGATGGCTAGATTTAGTAAATGTGTTTAGACAACTGGTCATTTGGTTTAGAGGATTGGCTTTTGTGTTTCAGCATTTGAGAAAAACTGTAATTTAAGTTCTTTGCTGATATTTAGCAGTGAATGTAAAATGGCTTGACTTGCATGAGTGTGTGTGCAATGCAGAGAAAACGTCGCTTTACCAGCCTATGCTCTCATGCATTTTATTTCCCGCCTGCCCCCTGGTCACTTCCAGACCTGCCCTTTTTATAAATTCCTCTAGCAGATCCCTCTCTTCCGGCTCTCGCTACTCCAGCTCACTTTCGAGTGGCGTCTGTTGAAGCGAGGCTCATTTTTCACCGGGTCCCGTGCTGACCTTCGGGTCCATCGGCGGGTCCATCGGCGCCCCCTGTGGCAGATCCGCCAGTCTGACCGCACTATTCTCTGCAGCGAATGGTGTTCAAGGCCCGTCGCTTAGGGGAGCGCCTTACGGATCTCCGGCACACTCCTGCCTTATCACAGATCCACAGTTGAATGAACAGTCAAAACAGCTTTAACATGTGGCACATGAGGGGGGGGTGTTCAGTTTTCTGAACAGGACATTAAAGCAAGTTTCAGCCATTTAGGAATAAACATATGAGCTCCTGCTTCTCAGAAGGTTCCCTATACCCTCTTGTGATACAGATCGCACAACCTCCAGCAGCTGAAAGATCAGGCTCCAGGACGAGTGAGCTGAACGGGGTATGATGGGACAGAATGTCACTTTAGTCCAGTTACATTTTCTTATCTGGCAGATGTTCTTATCCAAAGTGATGTAGGAAAGAGACAGGTGACACAACACAAAGTAGCCACCTGTCAGGGAGCCAGATGAGGTACCAGTGAGCTGGGAGGAGCTTCCAGCCAGTGACGGGAGTAAGTACAGGACAGCTGTCAGGGAGCCAGGTGAGGTACCAGTGAGCTGGGAGGAGCCTCCAGCCAGTGAGTGGGAGTAAGTACAGGACAGCTGTGGGGTCGCAGCTGCAGGAACACGGCTTAACTTAAAGAGCTCACGTCTGCTAGCATGAGTGATGCAAACTTGTCATTTCATTAACGTGGATATGTAATAATATGAGATTTTGCTGCTATATTTGCAAATACTACAATACTTTTGCATTTGTCCCACTGTATAGCCTCGGATGCCGCATACAGTCAACAAACATCTACTAAGCAAGGACCTAGTAAGGGACTCTCCCAGAGTTCTGCAGTCCGCATTTCAATGCGGTGAAAATCCTCCCCTTTTAACAGCTTTTTGGGGAGCGGGCTTAACATCTGCCCTGAGAGATGATGTCCAGTGTCAGCATTAGTCACCACGGGGTGCTCTTTGCCCACTGTGAGAGGTGCCCTCCCGTCCTACTACTGCCTGTATCCCCCACAGCCACTCGGGGAGGAAGGTGGGGTGGTTAAGTGTGGAAACTCCAAAATGCCGGCCATCGATCCGCGGTTCCCAGCTCGTCTGCAGCGGCTCCATTGGCCATCTGCGGCTTGGAGCTCACCAGGCGCTCAGGCCCGAACGATCGCAGTTAAGCCCGAAGGACGCGGGCAAATTGATCGGGTGCCAATCGCCCAGGCCGTCCTTAACCTTCCCCCTCAATGTCAGACATCATGGTCACGAGAAACTTGCCAGTCAGGATTGAATCAGATCCAAGGAAACTTTTTTCCCCCCAGAATGCCATTCTGTTCAGTGGGCTGCCTTTGTATGGCCGAACAGTGATGAGTCATTAGTGATGGATGATTTAATACTCATGTCTCCCTGACATTTTTATGTGTAGTATGTACTGTTTTCATGTTTTCATTTCTGTGTTAGGTACACCCTGCCATGTTCATGTCACCATGCTGGTGTGTGTGTGTGTGTGTGTGTCAACATCAGGAGGGTCTTATGATGGGTTTCTCCCAGTGCATTGTGGTTCACTCTGTTGAAAAGCTCCATGGTAACCAATTAATGGAATACCTGCATCTTCTCCCCAGGCCCGCAACGTGTCCACTGGGGAGCTGGCTGCCATTAAGGTCATCAAGCTGGAACCCGGTAAGCCCCCGGTCGTCCATCACCGTGCCTGCTTTCTGCTCCCTTCCTGTTATAGCAAGTTCTGCTTCCAACCCAGAATAGACCCAGAATAAATGCATTAATGTCCTCCAATCCAGGGACCAATTTTTCCCTCTCTACCTTTTTTTTTTTTTTTTAAGTCTTTAAGTCTTCTTTTTGACCAGCCTCTTCCAGGAGGCCATACCACTAAGGTTGTGAGGTCAGCCCACCAGATTGGTCCTGTGGCCTCTTATTTTAGTCCTGGAGATTAGGGTTAGCTAAAGGGAAATACCACAGGGGAAACCTGCCCCGGGGTACTTCAGAGAGCAACCTGCCTCGAGGCATTTTAGGGAGAAACGTGCCCCGGGGTGCCTCGGGCGGAAACGTGCCCCGGGGTGCCTCGGGCGGAAACGTGCCCCGGGGTGCCTCGGGCGGAAACGTGCCCCGGGGTGCCTCGGGCGGAAACGGGCCCCGGGGTGCCTCGGGCGGAAACGGGCCCCGGGGTGCCTCGGGCGGAAACGGGCCCCGGGGTGCCTCAGGCGGAAACGTGCCCTAGCATATACCTCCACTCATCTCAGCTGAGTGATTGCTCTCCATCCTGGTGCAGCATGGCCGCTGTGTGACCCTGCCCCCCTCCTTCTGTTGTTCAAGGGGGAATTAGGGGGGTGGGAGCGAGTGGGTGATGTTTATATTCATGGCGGTAATCTGAATATGGCCAGCTGTGCTCAGAGTGCTTCCCATGTGATGAATGTGATGCCTGTAATGGGACCGGCAGAGTTTTCAGTGTCTTTGGGCCTGTTTTTGAGGAGGTGATAAGTGATCCTCATGGTGGTTGGCTTTTCCACACTCATGTATTCTTTTCGGAATCAGACTGGAGCTTTTTTCTTGCTCAAGCTCCTAACAGATCAACAATAGCCTTGATGTTTGGGGATGGACCATCCTCCACAGACCAGCTTTCTGTGGCTGGTAACCTGCTTGGGTCATGCTTAGCATTTAGCATTCTATTGAAAAACGGTCGCAGTCGTTAGCCGCCCCATGTTTTGCCGTTGAAAATTAGCAGAGTAAACGACGGCTCCAGCGCTGCAAAGCTGTGCAGAACAGGCCAATAATAATTTCTTTAAAAACTTCTTTAAAAACTCTGAAATCTGCATTTTTCAGCAGTCATTGTTGCTTGTTTGATTGTTTAGGGTTATCCTCGTTTGGAGTGGTTTATAATCGTACCCATGTGAATTCCTGGATGTTTTTCTGGACTACTTCAGTAAGTGCTTTATCAGAAACTGACCAGTGGGGGGCAGCAGGTACCCGATTGTAAAATACTGCCCAGTTTGGTTGTTGGTTCAAATCCCAGGATGGGCTATAGTGTTGTACACCAATAAAACATGATCATGGTAGAATGGTGGGCTTACTAGTCATGAGCTATAGTCCTCACGGTAATGGTCGCTGTCCTCCCACGGCTGTTTGAGTCACCATGTGACATGGGAGCTTGGCAGGTGACTGCAGGGCTGTGTCATGTGACCTGGATGCAGTGGCATCCCTGCTGATTAACCTGCGTCCACATCCTACGTGTGGGTGGAGCAGCAGATCCTCGCCAGCGTGGAACTGGCTCCCGGGCAGCCAAGAGAACCAGACCCGGGGCACAGGCCACTTAGATCCACCCCCAGGGTCTAGAGGTCATACTTTGTGTCTTCTCGGTGTAACCACTGAACATTTATGTGTGTGCAAGTGCGTGTAGACACACACACGCACACAGACATGCTGTAGCTTTGACGAGAAGCTGAAGCGTGCAGCTGTTCTCTGAACATCAGCCCCGGACTCCCTTTGGCTGCCATCTCATTCAGCACGTTATGGCAGAGTGTAATAAGGGGTTTATGGCTGCCTGTCAGGCAGAGATTGGTGCCTGTCTGCGATGGCGGCCCTTACATTAATGTTAGCCTGGATTTATTACCACTCCGAGGCATATGCTCCCCTATGCGGGGCTGTAATGCATCTGCCCCTGCTGACTTCTTCCCAACTTCCCCAGGGTGGGGCATTACCTACTCATCCCCATGGGGCCTGTCGTAAGGCCCGCTCTCAACCCCCCAAAGCTCAGTCAGAACTGGCATGTCATATAAAATAGGGAAACGGCAATCATTCCTGTTATTCCGGAGAGATCTTAAGCTTAATAACACCGGAGTTTCATTAATGCGTTAACTGGAACTAAAGTCAATACTATTAATCTACCTTTAAGGCCTTCCATTGGCACCAGAGGAGTAATAAACATTCTATACTCTGTGTTTATACACCAGCACTGGCCCAGTGGGTTTTCATACAGTTATCGCCGTGTGCCATCACTTTTCCAGTGGGGACGTGTCCACTGCATTTCCCGTAAGCTCCGCTGGACCTGTCCCATGGCGGCGTCACAGTGATCATACCCCATTCACACGGCAGTCTGCGGCGACCCGCTTCAGGTGCCTTTCAGGTGTCGGCTGCGGTTGCTGGTTCTAGAACTTGATGTTTGGGGGTCTCGTTGTCTGCTCCTAATGGCAAAACCCCTGGTCATTCAATGCACGTGTCTTGTTCTGATTTCCAGCTTTGCTGTCTGCCTTCTCTCTAACATGTCCTATCTTTAGAGGAAGAAGTACTCATCTCCTTTGAAATGGCGAATATTACATTAACAGAATCCGGATAACAAGCCCTAACATAAAAAAAATAAATAAATAACATGTCATATCTACGTCACAAGGTTTATGTTGAACGTTTGCTGGTTTTCTTTAACATTTCCGTCCTACTCTCTAGCTGGGTGAGAGGTATTGAAGACCTGAAAGAAACACACCAGCAGAAGGCAGTAGTTAAAGGTTACAGGCGGAGTTCTGAATTGCAGCTTTTGGTGAAAGGGAGGCCTTTCTGCTCAATGGGGGAAATAACAGTGGGTGATGGGGGGGGAGGGGTGGTTACATAGCAACCAGATAGCCCTCACTTCTCCTGGCTCACTCTTGTTTCTCTTTTGTTTTTTATACATGTGATGCAGTTTCACTCCCCCCCCCCCCCCCCCCCCC